TCACAGTAACGACAATGGGTTGTCAAATTTTCTATTGGATAGTTGTATCACGTGGTTCGTTAGTGGTTAGTACATCCTGTACAATAACGATATAAAGACACACTAGTAGTTTGGACCTTAGCGGCCGGATGGCCGAGCGGTCAAGGTGGCAGCCCACCGCTCTGGGGGACCCAGGCTCGAATCCGAACGAGTCGAAAAATCCCCAGGAATTTTTCGGGGGTGGTCCGTTCGGATATGTCGGGCTCCGCCCCTCACCACCCGGCAACCCCATTGTGGGCCTGGCCGAACCCATAATGGGCTTGCAAAAAAAAGCTCTCTTAGTTACGTAGGCCCTCCAGTGCCGTAACTAGGCAGGTAAAAACAGGTGCACCCGCACAGGGCCCACTTAGAAGAGGGGCCTAAAATGCATGTATTTGTTTTATTACTTTCCCAAACCTAATTAATTATGGGACTAAATGCAAATTCCTGCACAGGAATGGCTAGTTACGGCACTGCCAATAGCGGATATTGCACAAACCGTTGAGTTTAAACGAGCAGCGGACCTACCAAAAACCATTTATTATTTAACGGTCTTAAAAATTATATTTATATTAATTTAATGATGTCTCCAAAGTTCAGCGAATTTTTCGCAGAAAAATAATTATTCAGGAAACACGCGCCCGCCGTTCTATGCGCCGCTCCGCGACGAAAACAAGCTTAAGCAATGGCGTCGTCGAACAGTGCACGCTCGGTAAGTAATCCTACAATTTTTTGTTTATAGCATAGTTTATATGGATTATTCCCAAAAAATTATGTGTTTTGGAAATGTTGATTCAAATTAATCTAGAATCGATTAATTTTATGGAAGAAAACCTTTCAAACAGCCGTAGTCCCTAAACTGCACACGTGCCGGGCTGTGATTGATTCATGTATTTAAGGACTCGTGCAACATGAATTTCATAAAACACGGAACGTATCTACCGTGTTATAGGGGGGGTCTACTGTATTATGTCTAGTTTTGTTCTTGCTGTTAAAATGTCAGCGAGAATGAGCTTACCTGTGGCCGAGTGAATAAAACTGGTACATCGAACACTAGTAGTCGGTCGTGGGTTCGTGCCTACCACGTGGAGTTTTCTGCGTTTTATTTACATTATTAACACCTAAATAGGGATCAATTCCACATCCTCCTCGGTAAATCGCCCACGTGTCGCGTTGTCGTAAACAAATAAACCAAACAAAACTTTGTCACCCATACTAATTATTTCTGTTTACCGTAATTTTCAAAATCTTTAATAATTCCCTCCCGATTTCAGTCATTATTGAAATTCCAGCACGCGTTAACTGATTCGACGCCATTTTAAATATCTATTTGCTTCAAGTCGCTCGAGTTCAAGTTACATCACTAATGTGACCGAGCACTATGATCGAAAAGAATTGACCAAAACCAAAACAATAGTAACCTAACTGACTCGCAACTCATACTTCATTGATTAAGCTGCTTTGGTAAGGGCAAATTTCAGTGTCGTGCGGCGACATTTGATGATAGGGAAGCTGTGCCGGCCCTGAATAGAATCATTGGAAGCGTTATACAATATTCTGATGTACAATAATATACAATAGTAATTTTTATAGTATATCCTCACTGAAACAGCTCACTGTCAGTCTGAGAAGCACTAGAGGCACAATCTGTAGTAAGCCGAAGCGCGAATTCTGTTCTGTAAGTAAAGATGATAGAATGACAGAAAATACTGTAAAGGCTACTCTTGATCCGATGAAGATACGGGATCTGTGATGTAAACAAAGTTTGAGCCAAATCTGTGATTGGCCAAATGTAGGTAAGCCGAATTTTAGGGGCAACAGTTAATTGCGCGTCAGTGATGGTCTAGGGTCCTTTCGTATGTGGGTAGTGGCGGCGGAGACAAAGATGACAAGTATCTTACAAAAACCGTTTATTGTAACATGAAATAAACTTACACTAGGAAAAACAAATAGTTTTCCTTAAAACAATCGGTTGTTCCGACATCCTGGGCATCGATGTTGTTTCTTGTTCGTCGATCGAAGGTGGTCCCTGGGCCGGTGGGGAGACTCAGTCGGTTAGCGTCGGAGACATGGTCCGAGTCCGATGGCACAGGTTACCGGTTGGGCACAATGGACGGAAACTGAGTTTTTCGTGTTGACTAACCGTGTGCAGGTGCAGTTTACGGTGTCAGTCTGTCCTCGAAGATCGGGGATTATATCAATCTCCGTTCTTTATCTTGCCCATTCTGATTGGCTCCGCGTTCCTTTCTTTCGATTCTCGATTGGTCTCTCTGTCCTTAAGCGAAAGACGAGACCTGTTCGGATCACGATAAAGGTCCGCTTCGGAGAATCTACCCGACACCATCCGTTAATTGTGAACTGATGGAACTTTGAAACCTGTGCTCATATTTTACCTCATTGTTGTCTAGTCCAGGGATATCTATCCCGCGGCCCGCATCAGTGTTGCCGCAATGAAATTTCAAAACGTACTGAAGCGCCTTCAAAAAATGTACTATTTTCCTTCAAAATGTACTAGTTCTATGAATACTTTGTTTCCCCGCGTTTCTTTATGCAGCGCTCGAGAAGCGCTTTACAGCGAACACACTGAAACTGGTTTCTAATTGGCCAACACTGCTGCTCGTGACGTCATTTTGCTACACTCTCGCTGCATAAAGAAACGCGGGGTTTACGTGCCTATATATATATAGGCACGTAATTTATATATTTATAGTTTATTGTCAAATAATTTAATTTTAAATCTTATTTTTGGAATTTTTTGAAAGCTATTTAAAATTAAAAATATATCTACACATCTATTATTTTTTATAAAATGAGCATTACGTTGACAACATTTATTAATAATACTATTGAATTTCATCTTAATTTTGTAACCAATCGTGCTTTAAAAAAATAATTATAAATTTGTTATATTATATTATATTCTTGTTTGCTTAAAACATGCGACTCAAAAAAAACCCAAAATGGCGGTTCAAGAAGTAGATCACGCGTGTCCTGGCCTTCTTATATAGACCTTGGAACAGTCGGAAGCGCGGCCATTTTGGAACCACACATAACATTAACCGTTATTTCTTTTACTACGATTACTAAAATTGAAGTTCATAATTTAAGAATTACAATACATCGTGAAATATTATTTTGTACCGTAAATGGTACTTGAAATATTATAATGTATTGAAAATGTACTAAAAATCTAAATGTACTTTCAATTTACTGGAAAGGGCAAAATGTACCAGCAAAGTACAAATGTATTAGGAACGGCAACACTGGCCCGCATTGAGGTCCACTTAATTTTTATGCGGCCCATTGCATCCTAAAATTTTTAGGTACCGTACATTTTCATTTATTTTGGCAAAGAATGTTGTAAAAATTATTCCCGTTTCACTAGATACACTTTGATGTCCTAATGACATAATTGATGCTAAAAACTGTATTACTGTAGATGCAAAACATACTGTTGCGAACAATTCTTTTCGTGCATGAAGAGCATCAAAACCGCTGAAAGAAATAGGTTGACTGATTTCCATTTAACTAACATTCCTAGAATTATGACTAGTACCATAAATGTAGATATTGACAATATTATAAAAAGAAAGCAATGTCGAAAATCGTATTGATTTAAATAAATAAATCTAATAGAGGAGAAGGTGGTATTATGGAACTCCAATTACATTTTAGTGAATTGTAAACAAGGTATCATAACTACGCCCACATTTTTAGTGCGAAAAGTACTGGTAACTAATAAACTAAATATTCCTAATTGGATTTTTCGCTAGTGTAACTATAAGTATGGTTTTTGAAGGCTTTTTACAAAAAGTCAGAAAGTAGTCTTAGAGAAAATCGGGTGGTAATATGGAACCTTACTGTTTAACTGAAGTAAAACGGGTTTTCCCCTTGCTATGGATGTCTGCCTAGTTTCGTTCAGCCACAATCTGCTACAGTTCGCCTTTATTATCAGTTCGAAATGGGGTGGTTCCATAATACCACTTTTTCCTCTAATAAATTTTAAATTCAAACCCGTTTTTCGAACCTCACACAAATAATGAATGCGATGAAAATGTTCTCATACTAAAGGTAATATTGTCCAGATTGTGCACGAATAACAGCGGGTAACCGCAAGATGTGTGTGCCAACAGAATTCGACGTCTTAATCACGATTAGACACATTTTTTCGAGTTAAGTCCTACGAAAAACACGAAATCGATGGGATAGGATAACGCAGGAAATTGATCATCTGCCAAGGGAAATGCTTCTAGGTGACATTGTGGGAAAGTGAACCTTATTTTAGGTGTTGAACATCCGAAGAAAACTCGAAATGTTGAACCGTGACCAACTTCAAACGTTCGGTGGTTTTATCCATTCGGCCTCTGATATCAATCTTCCGAGTATAATGCAAATATAAATCCTTTTGCAACCACTTTGTTTTCTACTTTGTACAAGTCTATTTAAAAATATAAAACCATTTTCATGAAAATTGTACCTTTAAAGCACAGATAACTGAACAATTTTACAAGTTATCCGTGCTTTTACCGAAGACAATTGTGTAATTTTGTAACACTAAGCGAACATTGGTGATTGGAGGGTATTCAGAGTCGAAATCCGGTGGTCCGTATACTCATAATTTACTACGGTAGATCGCAATTATTACTCGGAGATATCGTATGATAGAACAGTGAACATCGAAACTCTATTGCCAAAAATACGCCGAACGTAGCGTCATTTCTCACCTAGTAACAACTTTCTGAACAAATCCCGCGACTTTTCGGTGTCTCAACATCGTGTAACATCAAACCTCAGCCGCCGTTTCCCGGAGCAAGAAAATTTCACGATATAAAATTACTACCAAAAGTCACCACCAGTGGAAAATATAGCGGATAGATACATCCGAGAATTGTTGCCAACCGACTGTTTTTAAAAATACGTATCAAATTTCTTTGTTCTACAAATATCCATTTTATCCGACGCTATTTTTTTAGTTTCCGATTTTTGCAGTTTTGGCGCTGCGGTTCCCGTTGTTCGATTCGACTTGTGTGACAATGCGTAAGTTGTCTTGTCGATTCAGTAAAAGAATCAATGATCCTTGGATCATTCAACTCTTCAGATCCTTCAAACCCGAAGAGCTGCAGGAACGATCCTTCGGCACCAATTGTTGTCGTGTGTTGGAGGTGAGTGAAGACAAGCAGTTTGCATCTAGTGTGACATGCTTCGGGTACATTCACCTTTCGTGTGTTTCCTCGACGATCCTGACAAATAACTTCTCATCTGTTTTCTATAGTGATGTAACGAATATAAATCGAATACCGAATACCTAAAAACAGGAGTAATAAATAACAAAAACACAGTAAATTAATCATTTTGGTATTTAGATTTAATGTTATCGAGTTAGTGTTGTTTGTTTATATTTATTTATAACTTGTAACATGCACAAAAGAAAATAATATTAGTCACATGTATTCACAATTTATAATTACAAAGATCAGCACACGTACAACACCTATTCGTTCGAGAAGTGTCACACATCTGAGGGTCTGACCCTGCCTATCCTTCTTTTTAAGCGCTGGTCTTTGCTCTTCCCTTTCTCTTACCTCTATCGCTCTAATCCATGTATGCCTGTGCATACATCATAATACGCGCTCACGATACTTTCGATTCGTCACTTTTCCGTCGTAGAGTTCCCATTTTACAATTACGTGACTCAGCCTGGTGATAACGGAGAAAAGAGACAGATAGGACGTCGATATAAGTCACAGTTATGATTTCACAGATTCGAGACAGCTTGATAGCCCGAACGGCCCCAGGCTTTCGCCCGTGCACGCTAAGTGACTTTCATTACAAGCATTTAGCTTTCCGAAGTCTATGACAACAATTGTTTGGCATTGACGGGCGCAAATTTCGTGCCAATAAGCTGCCTCGACTTGTTCGATTATGTTATCAACTCAATTTCATATTTATTTTCACATTTTCACTTCGCGGTCCTTCTCTGTTCTTTTTCCGTTATTTACAAGTGTAGGTCATTTGATATCATCATTTATCACATACTTCCACGACACTCTTGTCTGTCGTCTACAAATGACAAGAATTAACGCAATTGGCAAAGCGTAGTGACAGCGGGCCAATAGAGAGTGGGATCCTTGCCATAATGAGGTTTGCGCACCAATTTTCATACGTGCGTTAATCAAGCCGAATAGTTTGGCCGAATATTCGGCTATTCGGCCACGCTCCTGGCCGAATATTCGATATTCGGCCTCAGGCCGAATATATTATTCGTTACAACACTAGTTTTCTAGGATAATTGATCAGTTTCCTTCCAATATAACATTGCCACGTGATGCTTTGTGTGCAATTGCTGTTTATCAAAATGTAATGTTTTATTTTGGCTTGTGGATTTTTACACGGGTTTGCTCCGATGCTCACCTCGTTGCAAGGGATTTTGTGGAGCAGAATGTGCTCTATACGCTCGTAATGAATTATGCTATTTGTTCAGGTCTAGGGATATCGTGTGGAAGATTGTCAGAAGGGCATATAGACAAAATGCGAATTTTTAGTCTGGTTTGCCTCGGTCTCCGCTGGGACCGATGTGTCGAGCGGTTTAATAAGCTTTTGTCGGAATGTCTGGCAATGGAATGAGATGACGGAAAAAAACGGTGCCATATCGGCATTTGCAAGCTTATTTTATTGAAATAACTGGGTTAATACGGACTAGTAGTAAAAATAATGTTAGTAACCGAGGAGGCAATAAGGTGGAACGTACCGACAAATGCAGTGTGCATCGGTCGCTATGCCGAGAAAGTCATTGCTGAACATTGAATGCATTTTAATATGTGGTTCGCTAATGTGCTGTTTGATGCATACATGAATGTACCCATTTGTATTTTATTCCAAACTTACTTGTAGAAAAACATTATAACAACATTAATTGGATGCAATTTGTACCAATGATGAATATGTCACAAAAGCAAACATTTTGGTTCCTAAGTGTTTTTGGCGTAACGTAAAATTTAAATTTGGTTAATACACTTTTCTGACCCATTGCCTTCAATGCAGTGTCTAAAAGACATTTGAAATGTGTTCTACATCTATTCAAATGCATGACCATCCATCCAATTCCATTAATGACATCCTTTTTGGAACAATTTATCCTCCATAATTTTCTAATCCGGTTAATGTTGGTTTACGTTGGGGATTGGCCCTTAGCCCTTATTTGTTTGATCCGATAATGGACGTGATGGTGTGTGACGAAGTGTGAGGCTCCGTGGAGTATGTTGTGCTGTGTGAACTTTCCCAAACCAAGGCTGAGAAGAAATTGGAAGATTGGAGGAAAGTTTTGGAAGAAAGGGGTGTGAAGATTAGCAGAACTAAAACAGTTTATATGACTCTGAATGGTAGAGACGAGTGTAATATTAAAATATGAAATGTGCCGCTCCCTATGGTTCCAAGTTTTAAATATCTTGGGACATTTGTCGAGATGGGAAGAGGATTGAACTCGGAGGTGCAGCATAGAATTCAATGTGGATGGATGAAAACTGTATAAATCAGTTGTTAGATGTGCAATGTTATATGGAGCAGAGACATGGGCAATAACAAGAGCCCAAGAAAGAAAGATGGAGGTGGAGGAGATGAGAATGTTGAGATGGATGTGTGGATTGTCAAGGAAGGAATGATATTATTAGAGGTTCTGTTAAGGTGGGTGGGCCCCTTGAGCAAAAAGATGCAAGAATTAAAACTCCAAAACCTTTAAACGTCCAGTAGTAATCAATTTAATAACAAACAAACGTTTTCAACCATACTCTCGGTCTTCAATTTAATAACAAACGTTTGTTTGTTATTAAATTGATTACTACTGGACGTTTAAAGGTTTTGGAGTTTTAATTTATATATTTCCAGTACTCAAGTGAGAAGATTTTAGATGCAAGAATGCAGGTTGAGGTGGTTTGGCCACGTAAAGCAAAGAAGCGACTATTATGTTGGAAAAAAGATTGGAAAACTGGTAATAAAAGGAAAAGAGGAAGACCAAATTTGCGTTTGAAAAATAAGATGGAAGAAGACTTGAACCAGAGGGGACTTAGAGAGAAAAAGCCTTGATAGGGAGAAATGGCAGAAATGTATTAGAGAAGGAAATGCTGACCACATATAAACATCTGGTAAACCTACCCAACTCTGACCACCAAAATGCCATCTTGGGTCTAAGATCTGCCGATTGAAGAATTTTCGTGCACTTCCTCCTATCAATGGAAGTGCCTCGTTAAAAATTCTTGACGAGAAACCCCATTAACAGAATGACATTTGTGGCATGACAAAAAAATAACACATTTTGCAAATTGCTAGTATCGGCAATGCACTGTGTATTGTTGGAAAAAAATCCAGAAACATTTGTGACTGTGCCATTTAGTCCAATGGTACTTATTGTGATTAGTTAAAGGAATCCTTTGCTTGGCAGAAAAGATAAAAATTTTTTTAATATATATTTATAGTTATTAATATATTTTGTTCTTTTAAGAAATTTGACTGATTTTATTTTGATATTAAACTCAAAATATAAAAGTTATGTAATAGATGCTTTAATTATTTGACTAGCACCCACAATAAATAAAATTTTATTGCAGAATATAGAATTTTGTGAGGAGTTTGATGCACATCTGATGCTGATAACGGATGGAGAGTATGCAGTCAGGGCACTGTTTACAACAGATTCCGTGGAAGAATTCCACCGGAGGTGAGTGCTGCTCCCCGGTATCGAAAGACAGATAAAACATATCATTTTGGCATGTGCCTTGCAGGGAGAATGGGTGGGATCCGTCACACAAACAGACATGTGAAATTCCGTGGACAAAAAAGATACTGTTACTGGAAGACTACAGAATAATACATAGGATGACATGTGGAGTAAGTCAGATGAGTTTTTTTTCACCCATACTAATTTATTTCTTAGAATGTAGGTAAGTAAACATATTATTAAAGGACCATCTGTCAATGTACAAAATTTTACATAGGACGTATTATTACTAAAATACAAACAACAGGATTTTAAGTCTATCGAGTTTTAATAATTTTTTTCTCATTAGAAATATGGAGAGTTAATGTTAAAGGTCAATAAGTTCATGTTGATCAGAAATTATCTGAACATGCTGGAAGTTTCCTCCTTCATGAAGTAAGTATATTGTTACATCCAGTAATATTGTAATATACGTATTATAATCAAATCTGATATAAAATAATTTTGTAAAGTTATTTAACTCATAGTTAAAATCTGTCAATTTGAATTTAATTTAAGATCCTATATCAAAGCATTTTTGGAAATTAAGTGATAGAGGATTTTCCTATTGTGAAAAAGAATTTATTTTTAACTGTATACAAACTAGTATCTATAACAGTGTATAATATGGCATATAATATGGATTTACTGTCAAGTAGCATGAAAAAATATCCTGAAAAATTTGAATATTTTTAATAAACTTTTTAAGTGTTAGTGGACAAATTGCATGCAACTACCACTGACGTTTTGTCACACCCAAAAATCTGTGATGAGATTCATCAATAATTCGGACATTTAAGCGATTTGCCAGAATACAACTAGTTGTTGTTCTGATTGTGCACGAAAGCATTTGTTTCCAGTAGCAAGTTTCCATTGCTAATAAATTACATGTTTGTTCAAACAAAGCAAATCTGTGTAGATTGTGATTTTGAGTGTCAAAATGTTGGCGATGGTTGTGAACATCAACTGGTCTTTAGAACCATACACTTTAGAATTATAGTTCACAAAGCAAAATATAAAGCATTAAACATATATATTTCGAGGCTAATAATTTGTTATATTCTAATTGGAAAAATTTGTTTGATTGTTTTTAGTTTAGAGCATTTAAATAGAGATCCTGTAGTGCTGAAAAAATGTCAAGATATCTGGGAAAATAAGCAGTAAGTAAATTATTTGCCAAACTCATTCTCAAACATTATGATTTTCACACATTCTTACTTAAAACAGACTGAATGCAGATTCTGAATCATTACAACTAGATTTGGACAGCTTCTCGGACTTTAACAGTCAGAAATCGGCATCAACTCCAAATAAAAAGACAAAAATCTCTCTGGAAAACGTCACGTCGGCTAAAAGTTTTCTTGTTATATCAGAAAAGGAACAGGATATACTAAACTCGATACCAGGTGAACAGACCTTTTGTAAATTTCAAGCTTTGTACAATTAGTTACATAAATTTTATATATTTCAGGATGGAATGAAGAAAGGAAAGCATCCTACACAAAGAGTAGGGAAGAGGGAAAAGTGAATTATAAAGCAGATGAAGATTCCTTTTGTTTCAATTCTCCAATTGTGAGAAACATAAATACTCATTTAATAAATCACAATAGCAAATGTGAATCAGGTAGACACAATGATAAGAATTCATCTGTTAGGATACATAATGCTAAAACATGTATTCATGAGGATGAGAATATTCCATGTAATTGTTTTGAAATCAAACAAAATCTAGAAAAAAAGGAAAGGCAACTGGAAAGTTTACATAATAACCACATATCCAACTCTAGTCTATGGATTCAAGACTTAAAATTGCCTCCATCAGATAAAATCTGCGATGAAACAAATTCTGGAACTGCCAAAAGTAACAGCCTAGAAAACAATTTAGTGCAATCTCAAATTTCCATTCAGTCTGAAGAAGAAAATGAAATATGCAGTCAAGAACATTTCTCAGACAATTTTGGAAGTTTCTGCAACAACCACAAGTCCACTTACAATCATGTGTCTCTCGATTTTAAGAAGCAGTGCATTCATTCATTAATGCCGAGGGAAGGAAGTAAAAAGAAAAGGGCATATTCTACTGCTGCCAATTCTTGCACTTCTCTGGACAATGGCAGTAGCCTGAACAAGAGAATTAGAAACTCTTTAACTAGTATTTTTGAAGATGAAGATGACAATGAAAATGGCATGTCAGTCATTATAAATCACAATATACAGTGGAAATTTTCCATAGATTGCATTCGTACCATGAGGGACAAATTTACAGAATTATATTTACAAAAATGAGTGTTTATAAAGTTTTCAATTGTTTCAACAGTTCAATTATATTTTTATAATGCAAAATTATATTTCTGGGCATGTTTTTATTCCTTTACACCTTGATTTTACATACAGAAGATAAAATTGTTTAATTTTAAAATAAAATTTTTGTTTATCAAAATTTCTAGAAATTTGTATTGTTCTGACACATTTATATAACCAAAAACATTCATTGTATGAATTATATTTATCAATATTTTACATTATAAGTTAAAAATATCAACTTTTAATGAATAAATTGACATATTTACTGTATTTCTATAGTACATAATATCCAAAAATATGTTCAAAAGCTTTAATTTATTCTATAAACAGAATATAAAAGTGGCATTTAGATATTTTGATGATTCATGAAGATCTGTACATTTCCTGAAAAAAAAATTATTTATATATATATATACATACAATAAAATGCATTTCTTAAATGTAGAATTTAGTATGGAGCCTTCTTATAACATTTATCGATGACATAACAACAAAAATCCCGTTAATGCAACGAACATACCTCATAACAAAGAAGCATTAACAGAATTTTAAGAAAAATTAAATATAGGTTTGTAAGAATGCCCCAAACTTGATATTTGAGAAGTTTAGAAGTAATGAGATACAAGTGAAAGGAAAATTTACTTGGCAGTGTAGAAAATCTGTAAACAAAGTTGTTAGCAATAAGATTATAAATTTGAATTTTAAGGAATTGAAGTTATTTTAGTGAAAATATTTGTGTAAATAATAATGAAATAGACCATTCTGTTGTTAGCTGAATGTACTTTAATTGCCTAATTTTGTACAAAGTTCTATTTTATGAAATATATCAATAAAATTTAAATTATTGGGCTTGTTTGGAAAGTAATTTTGTTTCTTTTTGTGGGGGGAAAATTTTTTCTTATATAAATATTTTATTGAAATATATATTGACCACTTTGGTCAAATACCTGTTGCCATCTTTAGGGTAGTAAAATGATTCCACATTCATAAAAGTTCTGATCTTTGCTTACAAAAAACTGATCTAAGTGATTTTTGACATCATTTGAAGTAAATGTTTTATTGTTTAAAAAATTTTGTAAAGACTGGAACAAGTAATAATTTGAAGGTGTCAGATCTGCTGAATATGGTGGGTGTGATGGCACATCCCATTTAAGCTTAACAAGTTACTGACGAATTAACAAATTTGTGTCAGATTGGCATTATCATGATGAAACATTACCCCTTTTCTATTGATCAATTCTTGCCTTTCCTGTTTGATGGTATCACTCAATTTGTTCATTTGATGGCAGTACATTTTCAAATCAATTGTGGAATTGTCTGATAGAAGTGCAAAAAACAATTCCCTTAAAATCCCACCAGAGAAAGCATCTCTTTAAGAACATGTGGGACCCATATATCGTGCTTTGAAACAAAACCAAGTCATTTCAAGTAATTATAAACAGTTCAATTCCACAAATTTAATCTCAGCGATTTCTCGTGTTGTTATTCAGTGGTTTGCTTCAATCAATACCTTTATTTTGTCTTCATCAGCTTCAACTGGCCTTCCAGAACATGGTGCATCTTCAATATCGAAATTCCCAAAATGAAATTTTATGAACCAGTTTTGGCACTGTCGTTCTGTCAATACATAATCTCCACACATCACAATTTTTTCTTGCTTGAACAGCATTTTAATTTCTTTTTGGTAATAAAAAAGCAAAATATGCCGAAAATTCTTTCAATTGTCCATATTTGATGGGACACCAAAAAAAAATTGCACAGAAATAAACAAAATTTTTTACAAACAAGCCTTGAAATGTTAGCTGTCAAAATATATGACAATATGGTTTAAAATGAAATTGGCAAGTAAAAATACAACTAAATCCATCTGACAAACAAAGCGATAATAAATACAAATACATCACACTAACCTTGTATAGCTTTGCAGTTAATTTTAGAAATGTAACACTAACGTTTTCGATTCACTCTAGGACCTTCTTCACGAGTTCTATAAAAAATTTTCTGGTGCAATCCAAGTTCGATTTAACTTCCTATTTTAAATGTTCTAACTGCAAAGCTATACAAGGTTAGTGTGACATATTTGTAAAAATACAACTAATTCTTCTGGTAGTAAAAAAATAAAATTACTTTCCAAACAACCCAATAAATATATATACATTAGACCAGTGTTTCCCAATTAGTTTTTCTTGCATACCACTTCAAGACAGAGCTCAAACTCGCATACCCCTTATAGCAGAAATTCATATTAATCCATACTAATATAATAAATTCGAAGGTAATTCTGTCTGTCTGTTACCTTTTTGCATCTAAACTGCTGAACAGATTTTAATAAAATTTGGCACAAAGATAGCTTACATGTTGGAGATGGACATGGGCTACATTTTACTGCGAGAAAATATCTTACTCCCACGAGAAAATTCAATATAATGCAAGCAAAGCTGTGGGTAGACAGCTAGTGATAAATAGAATGTTTTTTTACATTTATTACCTTTAAAATAAAATTCTAATAATAATGAAAATAATATAAGATTATTTAATTTTAATGTGACAAATGTGCACAATTTTATTTGCACAACTTTGTAAAATCTGGTTGCTTTTTGGTCAGCTTCAGTCTCAAGTCATCTTCGAGTTGAAGTCGGTGATGATGTTTAGTTTTCATGTTTGTCATGGCCGAAAATCCGCTCTCGCAGAGGTATGTTGTGCAAAATGGTAGTAGATATTTTATTGCCGCTTCGCTGACACGATAATAATGATAATTGTACAATTTTTGTTACTTGCGTAAGAATTTCATTTAGATAATAGAGAGGTTGTGGCCGACGTTTTAAACGCAAAAACGTGTACGTCGGACGTTCAGCGCCGCCTTCCTGTAAGCCTAGAAGTTTGACAATGGCGTTTAGAACGTCAAGCATCTCTATTTTCACAAATGCATTTTTTTGATGAAATTTTGAGAATATTTTTAGTTATAAATAAACGAACTTGTGCATTCGACATCATGTTGAATGCACAAATTCCAATTACAAACGTTGTAAATTGCTGAATTTTTGATGGTCCACCCATTATTTTTTTGATTGCTTCATCTCATGAATTTAAATTTTAAATCGACTGATTTTAGATTGCAGTGCGTACCCCTTCATGCAATTTTGCGTACCCCCAGGGGTACGCGTACCACTAATTGGGAACCATTGCATTAGACCATCAATTATCCGAATACCAATCAACCAAAAGTGTTCCAGTCAGCAAATTCAAATTTCCGCTAGTGCTGTAGCGCTGCAGCACTCTCCCCTCCCTGCCAATCTAAACTGTAGGCCTACTTTAATGTACTACTTTATGTAAGATATGTATTTGCAAGACATGTGATACAAAATATATATACAGTACACTTTTGTGTTTAATATATTTTTTTGTAAATGATCAGTTATCTGAACAACACCAGACCCAAATTGTTTCAGATAACTGATGCTCTACTGTATATAAATAATCATTTTATGTTTTTAAAAAGGACTGCTTAAAATCATGCCAGTTTAACTAATGTGACTGAAATAATTGTCAGGAAGCTCATGATTATGTATATAAGATCTAAAACAACTATAGACATTTAGCCAGAATAAAAACTTTTATATCTAAATTATAGAAAATCACAAGCAAAATTATAATCTCTGTCACTAACTCCTTAGAAGCAATATCTAAGTATATCATTCATGATATACTCAGATATTGCCTCTGATTAACTTTGATACTTAAATTGGCAACCGGTATTTATACCAGTTGCAAATTATGATAAAGGAAAATCTGTTCTTAAAATGAAAATGGAATTAACTGGCAAGAATAGCCCATAATAACTAAGTTTTTATAAATATGTTCCTTTGCATAAAGTCATACATTATTTGCATAAAGACGACATAACCCAGGATTATCTTCATTTGAAGCTATACAAAACTATATAATTTTTTGAGTCTTCTTTAGCTTCAAATATGTTTCTACAGTAGAATGTCACTTACCCAAATGCTGATCAACTGAAACATTGGCTAACTGAAAGCGTTCCAGCCAGACTGTGTTGCACTGAATGAAACGTTTTTGATACTAGATTAACTTCTACAGTATAACTTTTTCTTGTTTTTATATTTTTCAATATATTTATTTTGTTTGTACAAAATAAAGAAATAATTTTTAACGATACAATAGCCATGATTATTATTATAAAAATTTTTGTTAGGTTTAACATCGATGAAAATTCAATGCGAAGCTACTATTATTGGGATATACTAATACACTATATTAATTAATAATGTATTTTTTTCGTACATAATCAGTTATCCGAAAAATCAATTTTCCAAACAACCCAGTCCCCAATTGATTCGGATAATCGACGCTCTACTGTATAAAATGTTCAATTGCTATGTTAAATTAGTTCAAATGCTAATTCTATTATTTCATTACAGTTACATAGATGCAGTTCTTTTTTATTACACTGCATTCCACAATGTACAATGTAAGTCAAAATTATATTGTACTGTATTACAAAAGAAATTAATATATTTGTATATTTTATTATAAAATTAAAATTTAATGATACAATGATAGTTTGAATTTTTAATTAAAAACAGTTGCAAAAGAGTGTGCGCCAAACTTCACTGTGAAAAATAACAATTATTGCTGATGATCATAAGCTTCTATCAAATCCAGAATTGTACGATTCTTCCATCAAATACTTTACAAATTTACATAATCTGGCAATTTTGATTTATAATTAACTTAATTATTATTTAACTAAATGACAAAATTTCATCTAAATATAAATGTTTACATCACAATCTTGTGTTAAGATTAATTTTGAATTTAATTACCTAATTTTAGAACAATCTGGGGCATCAGAATTTGAACCCATTACTCTACTTACCAAAACAAGCAAGTTATCAAGTATTTAATTAAATTTTGATTATTAATCTTAACACAAGTCAGAGACATAACTATTTTTAGACCAAATTTTGTCATTTAATAAATTAAAAATTAACTTAAATGTAGCATGATGATACAGCAATTTAAACTGAAATTGGTTTTGTTATATTGTATATTTATTTACATTATCAAAATCTAATGACTTGGATGATTGAGTCAATAAAATTCATACATTATTTTTCATCTATAAAACTTGTTTCTTTCAAAATTATGCATTAATATTTTTAAATTAAAAATTCCAATTACCTCATCACCAAGTTTTAATTATAATTTTATACAGTATTTAAACAGAATGGCAGATTCTGTTTTTAAGTTTATTAATAATCCTACCAAAGCATCATAATTAATAAAGCCTTTCTTTCAAAAAATTTACCACTGAAATTATTGCAAAACTTTCTTAATAATGTAAACTACCTGAAGAATTCTTACACAATATACAATGGCTACACTTCAATCATTGAAACTAAGAAATCTGGACTAGAGATAGGCAATTATGCTGCCATTTTGTACTAATTTTAATAATTACACCTATTTTAAAATTTAATTTAATAATTTAGAATATTCTGGAAGATTGACTAAGAACAATGTGAACCTGCAACTTAAGATAACTGTACAAATTTGTTCTCAGTTACACTGTTACCCAGACTTCCATCCAAAATTCTAAAATTAATATTAATTCAAGATGGCAATCTAATGCCTACCTTTAGTCAAAATTATTTAGTTTCAATGATTAGAGTCTAGCAAAACTAGTGAAGAAATTTGGCTTTGAGATACAGTAATACCTCGACTTACGCTACCCCAACTTATGCGAACCCGGAGTTATGCGATTTTCAAATCTTGTCGATTCGTCTTTTGTTTGAGCGCCACACAACTCTCGATTACTCACTCCTCCCACATTATTGTTCAGCTTACATGTTCGGACGTGTCGTGCCGAATCAACACATAGCTACAATTTATTTTGTGTTATTTATTTCTGTGTTTGTTATATCTACGGAGACTTGAGAAACTCTATATGGTGATTTCTTGCAACCATGAACGAATCAAAAGACGAGATAAGATTAACGAGAACATTTATTAGCCTACATACATCCAACTTGGATTTTACACAAATTGCGAAATTATACCCCGAATTATGCAAATTCAACTTATGCGGTTTTCACTCGGTCCCACCTATCGCGTAAGTTCGGGGTATTACTGTATTTGGTTATAATGATTGGAGCTCATTGTTATAAGATGATAAACAAATAAAAATTTTTCAATTATTCTTTTCATATTATCTATCATTACATTTATGTATAGCCAATGAGACTCTATAACTGAAATGCACAAGATTACAATTTCTTTTACATATAATAGTCTAAAGTGGCTAAAATACGTCTTCCAAAATGAATGCTATCATTTTAAATTTATTGTAATTATGTCAATTACTATCCAAGAAGTATGCAACATACACCAATTGATAGAGTAACTGTTAAGAGTTTTGTTTCTCCATCTGCATTCAAATGTGTTTTCTCTACTACTAATAGGGAATACTGTAAACAAAAATGGCAACTTGCACAGAGGTTTGTTTTGTGAAGATGAAATGAAAACCTATCCTAGAAAGTTGGAATTGCTCATCATTGTGCAATGTGAGTAATCTGTAGGAGCTGCAGGATTGTGGTTGCTGTGGGAGGAGCAACAATGAATATGCTGTAGTGAGTATAGAATTTGAGTATCAGATGTGTGCCACATCACACAAGATGCACACATTCAGAAATTGTAATGGGCAAATGTGAAACTCAGACATTTTCCAATGCTTTAATGTATATTATATTGTTCTCAGATAGTAATTATTATTACAATAATTTAAAATGGTAGAATTCTTCATTGAAGACCCTTTATATTCAATCACATGAACAATGTTCAGTGGAAATTAATTAAAGCAGTTCTGGGAAAATTTTTTGCCAAAAAATGATATAACATTTTTGCAGCTAGTATGATGATGATAAAATGCAGTAGCATCTTGGCTAAGCCTATACAAGTAATCATTAATTTTGTAAATTTACCAAAATATAGGAATCTTGTGTTTTAGAACTCTTTTTGTGTTTCAGAGTACTATAGATGGTTAATTGTGCTAAAAATGAGAAAAGCTAAGGAACAACCCATGGTTGCTGAGCTGAGAACTAAACTTAGATGCACGAGCAAATGGATGCGAAGTAATGGGATCATTCTCACCAGGGCAGATAAGTCTAAGATGCTCGTCCTCATGAGACGCAATACCTATCACCAAGGTTTAAAGGAATACATCGATATCACCCATTGCATAAAGGTGAACAAGGAAATGGTGGAACGAATACAAAATAAGGTTAAACAATTTGCTAACTCCAAGTTAGCAAAATGCCTTGCATTGGGCAACATAATAGTTGATTCCCTGGATACACCAAGGCTTTTTACCTTTGCCAAAACCTACAGAATGGACCCAGCAATTACGTTCAATCATGGATAAAACCAGAGCTCCCACACAGAAACTGGAGAAGGCTACTCACAACCTACTTTCTCCCCACCTCAAAGGCTATCCATAAACCGTCGATAACCCTGTTGAGCTTGTTCACCTCCTTCGGGACCTGTCTTCGGCACCACAATATATTACTGTATTGGACTTTAAATCTTTGTACCTATCAGTGGAGCTTCCTCCAGCCTTTTGCTTACTTTAATGCAGGAACAAGCATTACACTAACAGGTACTTGAATTGGCCCATCTGATTTGTTACGATTCTATCTTTACATTCGATGGAACTGTTTACATGCAAAAAAGAGGAGTCCCCATGGGTAGCCCGGTGTCCAGTGACCTATGCGAAATGGTCGTTAGGCAGCTTGAACAAAAGATTCTTCCCCCGTTCCTCCCAAGCATCTTACTTTATAGGAGGTATATGGACGATATTATCATCCTGTGGAAGAAAATACCTGACATCTCGGTTTTTGTACAAGCAGTTAATGATAATCCTTACAGCTTAACCCTACAGGTGGAGCAATCTAGCAATACTGAGGCCCATTTTTTAGATATAAATATTAAAGTAGAAGGATCTGCAATCCTCACATCAGTATACCGTAAACCTTATGCCACCTCTACGTACATGCTGGTGGGTTCCTGCGACCCCTTCACCTACAAGGCTGCAGCATTTAATACTCTCGTTAGAAGGGCATTTTCCCATTCGTCCACCTCACAAGCCCTTTCCACCAAATTAAATTATGTTAAGAGGATAGCAGCCAAGCATGGTTATCCTGGTCTAACACACCATCTGATTGAGCGACACCAATGCTTGCAATACACACCCGCTACACGTATGAAGACCAGAACCAACCCAGAAGATCGTTTATGCCTCCCAGTCACCTTTAACCCTTATGTTAAAGCAATATATGCTGAGATCGCCAGAAAACATCAGTTACAAATAGCCTATAGAAGATGCCCCATAATCTTTGAGATCCTTAGAAATGGAAAGGACTATCCGATTCGTAGCAGACTTCCCAGTGTTTACTCCATACCATTCAAGGATAACAGATGTGACGAGAGCCTCATATACATTGGTTCAACCAAGCACTCTTTGGCTACCAGAGTACATGAACATCAAGCAGACCTTCGACACAGGCAATATACCATGGCCCTGGCCACCTTTGTGTCTGATCCCAATATCGAACCAGAATTTGATAAGGCTGATGTCATCGACTCTGCACCCCACGTAGAACATCTAAAATGGCTAGAAGCCGTATACATCTACAAGGCTAACCGCATGAACACATGTATAAACCAAAAAGATGAGCTTAATCTTTCTCTAGCGTGGCAGGCCCTTATAAATGGTGATCTTTAAATACCAACTTCCGCACACCAATGCACATGCCCGTCTCAACGAGTTCCGTTATGACAGTATTCGGTTTTTTGTTTGAATATCCACATTCCATTTTTCGAAGCATTCCAACAGAATTTCTTTATCTGAAGAAGAACTATCTCTAAAGATTCGAAAACGTTTGTGAAAGGGAGATTTTTTCGCACAAATTACACTGGTAATAGGTTCCGAATTTAGTATTTCACTCCCAGTGTCAAGAAGTTGACTTTTCTTATTTAGACAAAGTCACTAAATATAAGCTGCAAATCAAATTTGAATGAATGTGGACAAAGACTGTCTAGTTCTAACTGTAGTTAAAGCACTAGGAGCTATTCCAAGGGATCTAAAGCAATACTTGAAGAACCCAGAGCTTAACAGAATCGACATCCATTTGCTACTTGGATCAGCACATATTTTGCATAAATATCTCTAAACATCCCAGGTCTCTGGGAGAGACTCAATGTTTAGGAGCCAAATATAGCCACTAAAGCTGAGGATCTGTGTTTATGTTAAATAATATAATAATGAAAAAGTCAGTCAAAAAAATTCTAAGAAAACTTGTTGCATTTCTTAAATAATTTTTCAGAAAATTACCTGACCATAATTGTCTAAAAGAAATTTTGCATTGTTGAATGTTAAAAAGTCTATTAATTTGTTCCCTGTGCTAAAAATACAACATCCATAGACTTCAATTTTACTTCCATTAATCAATGTATATGTTGCAGTCAAAACCCATTTTTAGTTAGAATGCATTTTAACTAGTTGAAACTAGTTTATACTGGATGTCTTTGATAAAACCAGTTTTGTCTAGTTAAAACTAGTTTTAACTCAAATTCCTTTTTGACTAACAATAAATTCTAGTTTTAACTAGACAAAATGGGTTTTATCAAAGACATCCAGTATAAACTAGTTTTAACTAGTTAAAACACATCCTATCTAAAAACTGGTTTTGACTGCAACATATAGAGTGATTCGGGGTAAGATGCCTAATTTTTGATATTTTCAAACGGTGACGTCACATATTGTCATGTATTTGTATGATGAATCGTTGGGCCAATATTGAGTGCAGAAAGCTGTAGTTGGCTACCGTAACTTCATTTTCTGCATCTCAGAAGAATAAAAGCTAGATAAGAATGAAGTTTTTGTTGTAAAATGTTTCTAGAGTAATTTTAAACTAAAAGTTAAAATAGAATTTATTAAAAATTGCGAAAAACAATTAATGTATGATGTAGTTAAGGTTCTAGTTTCCATTGTCAGCTACCGCCGATCCCGATCGGACATGCTGGAGCAAGTGACTCTACTAGGCATCTTATCCCAACAAAATCCCAAAAGATGCCACATTTTTCTTGGGGTAACGTGCCTATTTTTTGTTAATTGAATTCCAATATGCCTATTTTTAATAAATTTTTGTTTTTCTCGTTTTATTGCAGGATATGCATAGAAATTATATAAGGACTTCTCTGAAAGGTTTTTGGACTGAAAAAAGCTTTCAGCTAGCTATAGAGCACGTTAGAACGGGCTGAAACTTAACAATACTTATACTGTGCTGTTATACTTGCTATGAAGTACTTTGTACTACATATGCGATAAATTAAATTTGGTTAAGAAATTCAAAAATTAATTTTATGCAATTATATTTGTTATCTTACCCTAATGGCATTTGGCATCTCACCCGGATACTTGGGGTGAGATGCCTAAAATGCCAGACAGTGAAAAAGTCATCATTGCAAACACAATATACAATTTCTTTTTAATAAATTCCAAAGTTTTATTTGAAAAACATACTCCAGAATATGATATTTTCATTAGAGGGCTCCAAAACCCAAATAAGCGCTATAATTTCCTTCATAAGCAAAATGTTAGGCATCTTCCCCCGAATCACTATACAAAACTTTATTTGTTTCCCCCAAACATATTTATGTAGCTAAAATTAGTTTTAACTAATGTTAAAAGCTAAAACTAGTTTTATCTAAAATCAAAACATGTACAGCAGTACATTAACTAGACAAAACCAGTTTTGTCTAGTTAAAACTAGAATTTACTGCTAGTCAAAAATGAATTTGAGTTAAAACTAGTTTTAACTAGACAAAACTGGTTTTAACAAAGACATCCAGTATAAACTAGTTTCAACTTGTTAAAACGCATTCTAACTAAAAACTGGTTTTGACTGCAACATATACATGTTTGAATTAACCTGTCCTGTGTTATTCCTGACAATTCTCGGGGTCGTGACCTCTGACTTTGACCGGTTGACCCGAAATGTCTAATTACAGTATCAGTACATTTTTGGAACTAGATGTCACTAGTCATTATAATTTTTATATTAAAACTAACTTCCAAAATATAATTTTTTTTGTTTTTATATTTATTAATATATCTATTTTGTTTGTGAAAAATAAAAAAATCATTTTGGACGATAAAATAGCCATGATTACTTTTTAAAAACGTGTTATTTTCATTAGGCATAACATCAACAAAATTCAACATGACATCACATGGAAATCGAGAAGAATTTCAACATCGGATAAGTTACAGAACACTTTTAATTTAAAAAATGTTTAAGTTAATTTATCAGTTTAGCACTGTATGGAAAATTATAAAGTAGGTCAATTTAATTATTTGTATGATTTAATTTTAATTTTTGAAACTATATAGTAATAATTATTAATTTGTTCATAAAGTATTTTATTTTGTGTGTTAATATGCTTTTCAGGCCTGAAAATATTCTGAAGCTCTAATTTACATAAAGTTGAATTTATACCTACTTTGCATACAAATAATTTGTTTTATTAAATTATCAGTTAAATTTCACTAAAATAATTAACAAATACATACCCATAAAGTTATTATTAGTCTTTACTTAAAATACAAAAGATTCTCATTGATATCATTTTGTCTTTTCCCTCCACTGATGCCAAGATTTCATTAGAACTTCACGTCTATTCCATAAGTATTCTTGACCATACAATAAGTAAAATCTGTAAGATAAGATAAAGCTTATTTTTTATGGATAAATTATTTAATAAACATTTTAATTTAAGTTTTATATATTGAAAAAGAATTTTTCAATTTAAGTAAAAGGAAATAAATATTTACATTCCAAATAAACTGCCTCCTAAATGTGCGGCGTGATCAAATAACTTCCAACCCAATAAGACTCCGGCTGTATCTAAAGCAATTACCGCTTTAATCGCCTGGAGGGTATTACATTTATGTAAGAATTCAAAAAATATCACATTTTCTTTTCTGTACATGCAAAATAAGATACTTACTATACCTGCAGAGAATGTAAAGAAAGGAAAGAAAACAATTGTCAATTGTGTTTCAGGATACTGGGTGCATACAGCAGCCAAAATGGCCAAAAGAGAACCAGACTAAAATAAATTTACTTTTAATATTTTCATTATTATAAATTTTAATATATTTATACTATAAAGTATCTATATTTAAAGTATTTAATATTATAAAGTATAATATATATATATATAATTTTTTCAACTTATAACAATAAATAATAGTTAACAAAAACAAATTTGAACTTATTATTTCTGTATTCTGATTTTACAGAATCAACTAGAAAAGATGTACAAAAATGAAATGACACAACTTTATTATTACTGGACAAAATTTACTAAAAATTCCAAAAAACCCCAAGCAAAAAGTAAATTAATGGAACAGATTTTTAAAGTTGTCACCATCTCCACAAATCACAATCAGAGGTGGGATCCGGAATTCATCAAGCTCAGGCATGTTTTTGATGATGATCTGGATTTCACCTGCAATGGCTTTTTTTTTTTTGAGGTTCTTGATGGTTTTGGAAATAGTCTGGAAGATTCAACCCTTCAAATAAGTCCACAAAAAATCTGGAGAGGGTTTAAGGTTGAGACTGAGGGCCATTCAATGCTCCATCCCATGAGCCTCTCAGTGTCCAAAGTGATGCTAGAGCCTGAAACATGTCCTGAAACCAAGAATTACATTAGCAACAATGTTAATGTGCACCATATGAACCAGTGGGTGTTGACCACCTGATGACAACTTACTGTATGGATCCAAAGCATATCATTTATGAACTATTAATAGTCTCTGTTTCATGTTGAGGGACTCCATTTTGAAAAGGCATTTTCAGACAATGCAGATTTGTTTTCAATTATAATTATAATAATTACATAATTATATAATTTTATTGTATGTCTATATATTATAGTTTTAAACTTTGCTAATTTGATTAGTTTTCTAGATAATAAAACCAGATAAAATTTTTAAAAATATCCAATATTTCTAAAATATCCAATTCTAAAATAGAGTACAAAAAATGCAGAGAAATAAACATTACAGTGCTTTAATAGCTACCTCACCTATTTAATTCTATTTTCTAATCCCTAATTCTATTTTCTATCACCTATTTAATTCTATTTTCTAATCCCTAATTCTATTTTCTATCACCTATTTAATTCTATTTTCAATCTAAATAAAAAGTAAATCAAATCATCTTTTTACAGATTTACAAACATAACACTATTAAGTACTTTCAGACTGATAAAATCCAATCTTTAGGAGTTCTCACAATTATAGAACGGTTCTTAAAGCAAAATTCCAAATGGTAATCATCTAAAGCAGACAATCTTAAAAGATCTCTTGTGTGGATTAACTGATAGGAGAATCAGTTAATTCCATGTCAGGAATGGTCTAGGGTCAGTTCGCATGTGGGTGCTGGTGACAGAGACCAGAATACAAGTGATTTTACCTTTAACCCATTTTATTGGTACTGGTAAAGATGCTTACATAGTTCCTGGAATTTACAGACTTAAGAGTACAACTTAGTGAATGAGTGTCCTTCTGATGAGAGGGTGTATTGCTGCAGCAGATCAATGCTCTTCACTGGGACATTGTAGTGATGCTAGGTTGCAGCCCTGGGGCAAAATATAAAAAAAAATGTCTATTGAATGGTAAAGGTATGCATGCTGATGACAGGGATAATGGCTGGAACCAGACAAACTAGGCAAAGTGAGAACTGTTTTGCTTCTTCGTGTGTGACGGATTTCACAACTCACATAACAGGGAGAGACTGTCTGTCCAATGTGCTGACACACTGTCCACATTGACACTTGGTGTCTTGAATATCCAAGCACTTTGACTAATCCTTGAATATTGGGGATTATATCAATCCCCATTTTTCGAATGGCCATTCCAATTGGTTGATCTTCCTCATCCACACTTTCCAAGTGGGGATTCCCTCATTACTAAGCATAACAAGATTCCAGCTCAGATGACGAGAGAGGTCAAACATGGAACTGAATTCGATCTGTCATCTCTCAACAATGGTCAATCTTAGGACTACATTCTTTCTATAGTTTACAGCTTTGTGTTGCGTTTTAACAAACAAAATCTGTGTCTAACTTCTAACATGTTTTCTTGCCTTTTAAAAGAAATGAAAATTTGTGAATTTTGTGATGGTTCAGAACCATCTGGAACCTCATACTTGCCAACGTCCTCTGACAAATCAAAATTTCTCTTTCTATTGAAAATATGAGAAAGATAATCTTCATTTATTTATTCACATCAGCTCAAAAATAGCATAAGTTAGAACTGAACAAGAAAAAGTTCTTTTAAATGAGAACAGTATAATAATATCAGTCACTGATCTATGTATTAACAAAAAACACACAGACACCTTGAAAGATTGCATTTGACACATTCCACTTTCATTGGTGGTCATCTTTCAATGAACAGACAATGTTATCTGGTAATGCTGTATTCTTGTTAATTAATGAGGTATGGAGAAGTATTTTAATTTGCAATTTTTGAGCTAAATTTTGCTTGTGACATTTTCCTGTAATATAAATTTTTATTTCTTTGAACTTTTCCATATTTGTTTTTAAAGAAAAATAACTGATTTTTATGTTTTATTTATATACCAAAATAAATAATGCCATAAACCATAAGATTACTACTGTTGGTTTTTGAAGTTTTAGAACTTGACACAAATGCTATGCAGAAATTTATTCATTTTTGCTCGTGTAACACTTTCTTTACATAAAAATTACATTGGGCACATTGCCTAATAAAGCAGTTTTAATACAGCTGGATGAGCAAGTTAATGAAGTAGCCTATTTCATTTGAAACAGGCAGTTGTCATTGGCTTATCCAGCTGAACTGAAGCCATTTTATCGAGCAATGTATCCATTACATAACTATAACAAATAATATATGAATGCCTAATTCTACTAGAAATAATTGAATTAGAAATTATACTTACTGCACCCAAAGATAAGCCAACTCTTCCAGTTAATACTTTATATACGTAACTAGTAAAAGAAGAAACTACACCTGTGAATCAATTATTTAGATTTGAATATTAATTTTAAAATCTTCCAAAATTTCAATAAGTTAACTTTGTAATGTTAACTACTAACCTGCACTAAGATACAATGCCAAAAATTGTTCTTTTCCAAACATGGACACTGCAGTTGATGAAAAACTATATAAAACGAACATGTTTGCTGCCCAATGCCACCAAGAATAATGGCTAAACGTAGATAGAAACATTGGCCAACACTGGCTTTCTACAAGAAAATCACAAAGTATTTTAAATATAGTTAAAAATTAAATTTTATTTGATGTACTATACATTTAAAATAAATAAATAAAACTTACTGGCTGCCGGATTTGAACAAAAATATTTAATCATCAGAGGTTGTAAAGATGGCTTTTGCCATATCAATAATATGGCAGTGTTAATTGCTATTATAAACCAGGCCATTTTCTGACCGTCTGTTTGATAATTCCACCACTCATTAATCTAAATTAAAATATATTAAATTAAAATAATTTTGTTTTTTTATAGTTACGACATTACTTAAAATAAAAATTATATACTCTACGATTTTTCTAAATGATCCTTTCTTGTATGCGGGTGTGTTTTTCCACCATTCGGTCTGACGGTCAATGAAACTAAAGGCACGTTTCCTCATATTTTCATATTGCCAAATGGCAGCACAAACAAAAGTACTTCCCGTGAACTAAATTCAAAAAATATATTTTAATAATATTGTATAGATTCATTTATATATTAAACAAAAATCTTAGTTTAGATAATATTTATAAAAAAAATTGCTCACACAAATAGTGAATAAAAATGGCTTGAATAATTTTTGAATTGGAATCTTTTCTTCTGTTGCTGAATGTTCAGGCATTAATCCCACACGTTTCCGCTTCTGTAAGCCTTTTCTTTCTCTTTTTAACCATCTTAACGTTGGATAAAAAATTTTGCTTCTCTGGTAATCAGTTAAGATATTGCTAAGTGAACATAATCTGAAAAATAATTCAAAAAACAATCATTTTATACATTAATATCTATCACACTCTGATATAAATTATTAATAAATAAAATTAATTTATAGCAGTTCAATAAGGATGTGTTGAATCAATATAATCAGAGTTGTTAGTCTAAGTTTCCATCATTAATATCATACTTTAATTACAAAGAATATTGTCTAACTCAATACAGAACAATTTACTGTAGTTAATATTCAAAGAACTATCAAAAATACAAATAATATATTTATTCTAATAAACAGCATGCCATTTATTAGAATAAAGTATATGACAAAATTCTTTCTAAAGTAATAAATTTCTAGTTAATCCACTCAAAAAGTAATTAGAAACCACATCATAAAAACATCTTTAAATAAAAAAGATAAAAATAAAAATGCAAGTCAGTCATATGAATGAATTTAGATGTTTTAAAAATAGCATCATCTAAATTTACAGTATATTTTATTTTACTAAACCATTTCATAGATTATAGTCATTACTTCACATAATTATATCAAAATTGGTCATACATAGCAACAAATTTAAAAGATGAAGCATTTTAATGAAAAAATGTGGACATTCTTAACTATTACTTCAACTTATCTATCTACTTATTATATATCTAAAACATTTAATAAGAACTTAATTAATACATCACAAATATATCAATAGAGAACCAGACAGTATTTTACAACCATTAAAACAAACTTTGAAATTGTTAAAAATACTTGTACAGGTAATCAAAATGTTATCTACAAACAGAATAAATCATAATCCAATTTAATAGGTATCTAAATGTATCTAAAGTTGGTATTTTTGGACTAGAATTACTACCGTGCACTCAACACAAAAACAGTTACGCAAGCATCAATCGGATATTAAAAATACACCACCACCTTGACGGCATACATTACCGATCCTGATATTCGGGCAGACTTCCCAAACACCAAATTAATCAGATAAGCATTTCAAATTGATCACATCCGTCACCTGGAGGCCTGGGAGATCTATAAAGCCAACATTGGGAGCACCTGTATCAACTTTAAAGATAAAGAGGCGATCACGCAGGCGTGGAGATACCTATTCGAGGAATTTGAACAAGGACAAGCAGAGGGGTGAAATGTGGTATGCGCAATATTTACAACTCCGGCAACATTGTTCTAATGGTCGAGGGGAGACATCACTTAGTCAGCACTTGAAGACGACCTCGGTGGAGGCAGAAAACGTTAGTGGATATTGTAACGAACACAACATTGATATATAAAGGTTTTTTTGTGGATAGTTTTCTATTACTTATTTACTCAAAATTACTCTTAAATGTATTTAACTCCTACAATTCATTCAATTTAAATCAAATTAGTAATTTATATGGTCTCTTATGCATCAAATATATGGAAGATTACATTGATTTCTTTTAAATATTTCTTCAATAAAATAGAATTTTCAAATTTTCTGATGGTAAGACAGCCAAAAGGCCTTTTTTTTGTAATCCAATAAACAAAAAGAATAAACTCATAATAAACACTACTTCAGCCCAATACTTTGTTTGTTGTACTTGTTGTTTGGCATAACCTTGTTGGCCATGTCCTTCAACTTCATGCAGGAAGAAGTGACCAAACTGTTCAAAGAAATTGGTAAGAGGATTGGAATTCTCTCTCAAGACTTGCATATTGGAAGACTGCAATATTACTTGAGAAATTTGCAAGCATTGTTTTTTATTTGTAAACTAAAATTCACTTATTTGTGGTAGGATTAACAAAAAGTAATGAAGCAAAAGCAATAGATAAAAAGACAATTAAATAGCTTTTCATTCATGGTTTCATCTAAATTTTTGTTCTACTACATTTTGTGTTATTGACTGGTTATTGGAGTGGATACTATCTTGAAATTAAAACTCTGAACAGTGATTACGGGTCATCAGACTTACAGAGCTGTTCTATCTTTCCAACATGATATTCTTTTTTCTCTCCTTTAATGCACTTGAGATTACATAAACTAGAATTCCATCTGACTGAAGCACAGCAACACATGCAGGCTCACATTAGCTCATTAGACTCTAAATTAAAGCAACTTGTTACTCTGCATAAACAGTAAATTCTTACCTTTGTTCTAAAACTTCCTTAACTTACATAATAAACGTTGTTCAAGATATAATATGTTAATGTATTATACCTTGCCAGGTATTTCTATGCAAGGTATAATACATTGACATATATATGGTGAATTTTTTGAGAAAAATGGAAAAAGAAGATCAGTATTCAAAAAAACTTGGCAAGAGCTTTGCCATATTTCGAATGTTGGGTAGCACGTACTTGTTTGTTTGTTTGTTTATGTTTTCACAATGCAAAATTTTCCAACTGACTTAACATGGAAATTCTAGTGATGCAATGAATAGTATATTCAGCCTCAGGCCGAATACCGAATATTCAGCCAAACTATTTAGCTTGATTAACGCACATATGAAAATTGGCGCGCAAACCACATTATGGCAAGGACTCTGCTCTCTATTGGTCCGCTGTCACTACGATTTGCCAATCGTGTTAATTCTTGACAGTTGTAGTGGACAGACACAAGCGTCATGGCAGTATGTGATAAATGATGATATCAAATGTGGATAACAATGAAATGACCTACACGTATAAATAACAGAAAAAGAACAGAGAAGGACTGCAAAGTGAAAATGTGAAAATAAATATGAAATTGAGTTGATAACATAATCGAACAACTCAAGGCAGCTTATTGGCGTGAAATTTGCGGCCATCAATGCCAAATAATTGTTCTCATAAATTTCAGAAAGCTAAATGCTTGTAATGAAAGTCACTTAGTGTGCATGGGCGAAAGCCTGGGGCAGTTCAGGCTAACAAGTTGTCTGGAACTTCAGTTATGATAAATAATTTTTTACAATGAATCAAAAAAGTTAATTTAATTTTCAAATTTATAATAAGGGATGATTTCATAAAAATGCTTTACACATCATTAATTATTATTTTTTCAAATTTTATGACCTAAGTTTCGATCTAATGTGCCCACACAGTAAAAATTTTCATACAAATTTTTTACTCTTTTCACTCCTTTAGGGTTGAATTTCGTAAAAACTTTTCTTAGCACACCTAAATTTTACAAAAAGAACACATCCTCAAACTTTTAAGTTTCTAGCACCAGTAGTTTTGGCTCTGCATTAATTATCCTATCAGGACTTGTTCTTTTATATATGAGTATATAGATGACTAAACTACAAAATAAGTAGGTAGTTTCATTTGATTTGTTACTTTTTTTTGATCTCTTAAAAAAATAACTTAGTTATATTACTTTTCCTTTGATCTTTTACATAAATAAGCAAAAAATTGCACTTTCTCAAACTTGAAGTGTATGTTCAGCATTAATAAAAGTTACAAAAATGATTAATTTACGGTGTTTTTGTTATTTCTTACCCCTTTTTAAGGTATTTGGCCGAATACTGAATAGTAACCAAATATTTGTTGCATCATTAGGAAATTTCCTTCGTTCCCAATATCTCCCATTCTGAATTACATTTTAAAATTTGGCCTCTGCAATAACATGCCATTTTATTACTTCTATTAATGTGCAAAATGTCATTCATATCAATCAAGTCATTACTTCACAAAACATGTTCAAGTGATTTTTCAATTTCAATCACTGCTAAAGAAGCTTGCTTGCTGCACTTCAATCAGTTTTCTAATCTTCATAATTAAAATTTTATTACACTTATTCTGACTACAACTCCTATAAGGGTGTGAGCCCCAAGTTTATTGCTTTGACTTCCCTCCTCATTGGCCAGGTTTGTAATTTTTCATGTTACTATAGCACATGCATTTATGCAGATTGTAAATGTTTTATATTAATACATTATAAATGTCAGCAAGTGTTTTACAAACAAAATTTTAGTTGGTCTTTCTGCTGTCTTCACAAATTGGTAATGTCATCTAACCTAGTGTTTCTCAATCTTTTCCTCAATGCAGACTGGTAAAATTATAGATAACTTTATATGGGCCAATAATTATGTGTGACTATGAATTATGCTTATAAATGGAATCTAGTGTTTTTATTCTATAAAAACCCTAGAGAATTTATAGAATAAAAACATTTTAAATAATATTAGATTGAGAAACACTGGGTTAGATGGCACTACCAATTTGTAAAGACAGCAGAAAGATCAACTAAAATAACTATGTAACAAAGTACTTACAGTAACACTAGATTACTATTTAAATATCATCGATAATCCATATTTTTTGCAAGACTGGTGAAATCTTTCACAGACAAGCACTAGTCCATGGACTGGCAGTTGAGAAACACTGATCTGAATGAAAAGACTAGCAACAAAATATCAAAAAGGCCAAAGAAAATGATGTCCCTTGAAGACAAAATTAAAATGATAGATTATTTATAGAGAGAATAAAACAATAACTATGATTCTCTGCACTTTCATTCAAAATTATTCTACCACAAGAAACATTAAGAAAGAAAGAGAGATTAAAATGCAATAGCAAAATTTCTTTGTACAAAGTCTTTTTTATTGATTGATTTTATTAATCCTCTAAACATATTTTATTCAATATATTTCTCCTTTCTGTAGTTGCAGTTATCATATTCATGGAAGTTTTGAACATAACTGTTGCAAATATAAAACTTATACTTTACAAGATAATTAATGCCAAATGATCTGCCGAATCATCAAGCTATTTTTGGGCTACTTTAATGATTACTTACTAATTAATTTGACTAGAGATAGACAGATATACCACCATCTCATATTAATTTTAATAATTATAATAAATTAATTTTTAATTTAGAAATTTCCGGAATTGGTCACAATCCCAGCCAGTGCCAGGATTGTGACAAATTCTGTGATGTCAAGATGGATGTAAAGGTGACCACCTAGCACAGATGGTCTCCCATTGGTGAGTTACTGATCCATCAGCACAGTTAGCTTCTCAGAGATGGATATTAGCTGGCTATCTGATTCTGCCAGGGAT